ATATTAACACAATATTAATTCACAAAACTTATTGTACCCTTGGATCCTTCTGTTTAACTCTTAGCTTGACACAGTATAAAATCACCTGAGAAGAGAGTCTGAATGAGGAAATGTTTGGATCAGATGGGCCTATAGGGGCCTTTTTTGGAGACAATCTTACTAGATTAGATGTGGGGAAACCAAACCCAAGTGGGCAACAACATTCCTGGGTGTCAATTCTAAATCATACAGTTGTAGAGAAAGGTGGTGAGCCGTAAGCACATGCTTACACTCGTTTTTCTTTGGCACTGCCTGTTGATACGATGTGACTTTTTTAAAGTTCCAGTTGCCTTGAACCCCTTTCTATAATGGACTCTAATTAAAACTTTGAGTTAAAATAATGCTCTTTTCCCCAAAACTGCTTTTTGTCAGAGCATTTTATCACATCAACAGAAAAAGAAGCTAGGACAGTCGATCTTCAACTCTCTAACTCAAGGCCCCACCTAGCACCTTTGCCAGGAAAGCATACCTTCCTGCCACCCACTCCTGTACACCTTAGTAATAATGCTCACAGAGCAGCTAATGTTCACTAAGCACTTTTAACAGTCCTATGACAGAGGTATGTACAACATACCCATTTTCCAGAAAAAATGCTGCAGCACGAACAGGCTAATAACTCATCACCGGACACATCATGGTCAAGTCAAGGGTGGAGCCAATAAGCAAACTCAGGTAGATGAGTTCCATAACGTGTGTTCTAAACATCAGGCCACAAGACCTCCATATGAGTAAAAGTGAGATGCCTCCAGTCACTGCTGGAGACCCAGTACTTCACACCTTCTTTCTAAGCATCAATGTTCAATGAGATGCTGAAACTCAATGTGACCTCTTACAAACACTGACTCTAGAATATCAAGTGTGGAGTACAAATAAATTATCAAACGTCCCTGAAAAGAAAAACCTCTTTAACAATATTTTTGTTGAGACATAATTTTTACATAGCAACAGAGCTATAACGGGCACTCCTAAAACATATCAGCATTTACCATCCCTATGATAAGGAAAAGTGTCTTCAAAACTAATGAAAACCCTTGGCAATTTGAATATTAGATGACACTAAATTACACTATAATTATTTCAAAGGTCAAGAATCCTACACATTTAGTCTTAAAACTCTCCACCTGGGTGATGCAATCAGAAAATTTAAGTATGTATGAAAATATTTAATTATACAAAACAGAAAGAAATCTACTAATTTAATAACCTTTAAGTAAAATATTCTGTCTTCCCACATATGTATTTTTCCCTGTGCTGCAAAAATGAACATTTTAGAAGAATATATGAGCTATGTAAGTTTCAAGCAAGGGTAAGACACCATAGTTTGAAATAAATCAACACATCATACTTGGGAAACTGGAAGGCTATAGGGCACCACAGAAAACACGACAGAGTCAGGAACACTCAGCATTTTCAGGAATCCAATATCTTAGGAGAGGAAAACCAACATAGAGCACAAGGGATTTAAGTGGCTAAATGCACACTGAGATGAAACTCCAGGCCTCCACCACAGCTGTATTGAATTCATGCTGAAGGGATGTCGCAGTGACAAGTAACTGATCTTCAGTTCAGATTATTTAGTTATTTCCTTCATTAATTAGCTTGATTCTTTGAGGTAGTATCTCACGATGTGAAGAAAACTCAATTATGTCTGGTGTCTAGAGAAGCCAGAAGAGATCTTTGAATTCTCTGGAACTGTAGCTACCGACAATTGTAAGCCCACATGTGGATCCTGTTCTCTAGAAGAGCAACCAATGCTCTTAAGCACTGAACGACCTCTCCCACCCCTTGGTTAGATCATTTTAAAAGCAGATTTGCCTTTAAGATTTTGGTTCTCTTTTTACATCCAAGCTACCTCCCATTCAGGACAGTCCTCACTTCATGAAATGTGGAGAAAGCTGAGCCATTCCCAGATGACAGGGCCATAGCAGAAATGGCTTTGCTTTGCTAGAATTGCCCCTAGCAGCAGAGGCCTATATTACAATGCTGGAACAGTGGGTCTTGAATTGGTTTGGTGTGTTGTGTGAATAAACATGGAAGGATTTTTTAAAAGCAATTGCAATGGAATGTTTTTAATAGATTTAAAAAACTGCTTCTGTTTGTTTGTTTGCTTGTGGATCTTTGCTGTTTTGATTTTAGCAGACAGGGCCTTACTGCCATCTATCCCTGGCTTGTCCAAAATTGGCTTTGAGGATCCTGTCCACATCAGACTTGTGATGCTTGCCTACATATAGGTGACCAATCTTTTGTTTCTGTTTCACATTTTCTTAAGCCTTCATCATGCATGATGATTCTCCATGCATCAAACTAACAATGAAGTACAAGATAATATTATCTGAAGAATTAAAAAACAGCTATCAATGCCCACTTTGACACTGTGTTCTCTTTTTGGTTGTGATTTTTATATTGAATATAAATAATATTGATAACTTGAGAAACATCTTTCTGGCTCAAATGACAAAATCAATACATGGTTAATTCATAGGGATTCATATGAAGATGAAGGGCTTCCACTGACCAAATATGGGAAAGACTTTGAGTTGGGAGGCATTGTCTGTACTAAGGACTCGACTTCAGCATGGCTGAGTGTGAGGAGTGCTGACGCAGTGCTAACTGCCAACAGAAGACACTTCATCAGACTAAGTGGTGTTGTCTCATCTAAGTAACAAGTGACTCCTATGTACCACAAACTGTCTGCATGTTTTGCTCATGGGAGCGCCTTTCCTGCCCAGCCACACTACTGTTCTGTGAATTGCATGCAATTACCAAAATGTCAATGGGGAAACAGGTACAGAGGGGTTCAGAGATGCTACCACAGTCAAAAGATTCAAGGTAAAACTGAACTTCCAAAGCAGATGTTCTGTGTCCACAGCTTCACCACTAGATGCTATTTGCTCTAAATAAGTTCATGGAAGTCAGATGAGGAGGCGAAGGTTTGTAATCCTGAGGCAGACATAAAGGCCCAACTGTAACCAAGAGCAAAATTCACAGAGATATCTAACTTGGAGATTATATGAAATAACTGAAATGGGACAATGAAATTTTAATCTAGATTCAAAATCAAGATCACAAAGTATGCAACTGCCCAAATTCTAGAAGCTAAAAGTGGCGACATGGACAGAACTCTGCAATGTGTTTTGATGTTTTCCTTTGTTTTCATACTCTTCATGGCCCCAACTTGATCATAAATGTTATTTTGTGATAATTTCAGCCTATAGAGTATTCCCTGTATACAAATATTTGTGGTCAATCTTAAGTAGAGATTGGGGGTACAGAAGAAGATGGGGACAGAATAAAGAAATGGAGGAGAAAAAGACAGGAGAGAGGGAAGGTGTTTCATTCATATAGTGCTTCCTTTACTCCTCCATGTTACTTCCAAAGCTACATTCTTGCATTCCAAATAAATTCAAACACAATTAAAAGCAAGAACTACTGAAAAATTCCATAAGCTATTTCAAGTCAGGCTGATACAGCACGGTTATCCCTTTTTAATATAAAATAAGTAAATATCAAATGGAAAACAAGAGTTGAAGAGCATTATAAGTAAATTCATATGTATAAAACAAGGAGATTCAATTGCATCCAATTATTTCAGCCAATCATCTCGAAGGGAAGATCCTCTAAAGAAAATTGCATTGCCTTCCCAACTCCTTGGAGAGCCAGTTTAGTTAACAGCCTACCTACACTTCAGAGATGACCATGCAGCTTACATGTCAAACTCATTTTCAAATGTCAATCATGTCCTTTTCAATCTAATTAGTTTGGAAAGTAGTGTCACTGACCTGGAACTATGCAGACCGTTTATTATCATATCATTTGATCAACCTAACACTTTGCCTCAGTTGAGTTTAGGACACCTGTAGCCAAAATGTAATATCCTTTCTCCTACTCATTACTGGTAAAACTCTCAATACAATTCCCTATTTACAACTCAATTTATCACTGTGAGTATTCATGGCTAACTTTACAGTGGCATTCCACAGGATCTTCTTTAAGATTTCACAATTAAAATAGAAAACTAAAGGAAATATACACAGACAGTGACTATATATATATATATATATATATATATATATATATATATATGTGTGTATAAATTATTGCAGATGTGGAAAGGAGCAAGAACAGAAGGCCACAGACAGGTTGGGAGTAGTTTACAATCTTAACTACATAGATTGGGTTTTTGTTTCCCTTAATATGACACAACAAACTACACAGAGAGACTCTGCAGGTTGTCATCATATTGGGACTGCTTTATAATAAAGAAAACCTGCCCTGGGTTCATGGTATTTAACCTGACTTTAACTCGGTGAGAGGCAGATGAGGTAGCACTGAAAAATAAATCATTGCTAGCTGCCCAGAGGCCAGGGAGCATTGGCAAGTGTATAGGAGAGGAGCAAAAGGGCTGGGCGAGACTAGAGTGGGTGTGTGCTCCATGCTAGCAGCAAAGGAGCAGGAAGATGGCTCACAGAGTAGACACCCCTCGCCTGGTCCATTCTCCAGCAAGACCAGGGAAATTACATGATCTTTTTCCTATTTCAGCTTTGCATATTAAGAATGAATTTGCAAGACAAAAATGCAAGCAAGTAATCTTATCTCCACTGCACAGCGTAACTAACACATTGCACCAAGGAGGGAAAGAATACAGGCGCTCTGATATGCCCCCAAAATGATATATTCATATTTTTAACTCTGGCATTTTTTTTAAAGTGCACCTGTTATATTTAAAGTAATGACTAGTCACTGTAGGATGGTAATCTAAAAGCAGAGTCCTGGCTGCCAGATCTACCTTTTTTTTATCCTGGACTTTTATTGGAGGAAGTTAAGTGGATTTTACCCAAATTTATGTTTGTGGGATGGAAAAGTGAGAATGTTACTCATGTTTTCCGGATCAATTTACTACTTCTGAATAATTTTACATGAGGTGATGCAAAAGAAAAGATGCACACCTATCTCACACTTACCTTCCGGGGAGGAAGCAGACTTTTGGGAAAAGACAGCATTTACTTTACTCTTCTTATTGATATCATTGTTTACAGACAGGCTGGACTGAATTTTTCGATGCATTTTCTGAGAAACAGGAGCTGAAGTTCTGTGATTATCTGTGGGTGCATGTTTGGCTCCGTGATGAATTCCATTCCCATTGCTCAGACTCATGTGGCCCCCATTCTTGATCTTGCCTTCTTCCTCCTCTTGTGTTGATGTCTGCAGCTGAGGCAGGCGCTGAGGTTGGGCTGAGTTTAAAAAAAAAAATCATCTCGTTAAGCAAGAGAATGTTTTATTTTATAGTAGTGAAAAGATATATTCAAAAATAGAGACTGCAGATCAAACCCATGCTAATAAAACTGAAAAGACCTGGGTGGGGTCAGGAAAGAGGAGAGGAAGAAGGAAAAGATGGAAAGGAGAGAAGAGGAGTGTTCTAGAAGGAAGGAAGGTCTAGAAAGTAAAATAAAAGCAAGGTCAACAACAATCACTATACAAACACACAGAATTCAAGGATGTTTTGTTAATTTAAAATAATACTTAAATAAAAATCTGGTTTTTTTTTTGTTTGTTTTTCTAAAGAAAGGCAGTTCTGTCCAGGCTGTTCTCATTTGTTGGTCTCCTAAGTACAGCTCATATAACAGCATGATCTCAATATGAAACCCACCAATTACATTTTGAAATGAAAGCAACAATGAATTCAGACATTCACAGTTGGACAACAGTCTGATATAGTTTTTTTTACAAGCAATTCTAATTCTGGATGAAAAACTTTTCTGAGTTTATTCCTTTAACTTCATTTTAAAGGAAAAACTGGTTGAATCTGATACCATGCATCTGCCAAAAGCAAATGTAAGCACTTCAGAAGAACTCATATTTAAGTCTGGACCAAGCAAAGGAGCCCACCTCCATTCCTCTTATTCAACACTACACCGGAAGTCCCAACAAATGAAATGAGTGAGCAAAAGAGCATCAGAGTCCAAGAAAGGAGAACACATTCCAGTAGCTGTAGCACTGTGACATTTGGCCATGCACAAACAAAAACCAGTGGAGCAGCAGACTCCCAGATACATAGATGTATGCACACACATTCACATATCTATGACATACAATGCCATACCATTCAAATGAGTTGATAAGAAACTTTTTAGTTTAAAATGGAAAGGGGGACTATCTTAATGGCATGGTACTGAGAAGGCTAATGAATTTAGTTCTTCGGATACTGCATTATCGAACAACTGGTTGACTAATGACAATGTGTGTTGGCCAGCATTACTGATCCACTAGCTCTATGTGACCTCAGGACCAGTATCTACAATGAAGCATCTTAAAAGGGATATCTGTTTCTTAAGAACGTGCAATCATTTGATTTAGAGAATCATATGCTCCTGCTTCTTGGAGCAACCAGAATGACAGTGTAATGACTGCCATCAAAGCTAGTCATGTATATGAGTTTTAAAAGGTGCCCAAGAAGATAGTTAAACCTAACTTAGTGTTCCTTACAGGGAACTTTCTAGCAATCTCTCCAAATAAATGGAATGTTTGTGCTACTTCTTCTCTAAAACTAGTAATTCAAGCAATCTGAGAGCTTGGTTAAGTTGAAATGCCATTGACCAATGGTGGGTAACTCCTCATCAATCAGTCAAAAATGTCTTCGCATACTCCAGTCCAAGATAACCCAAGAATCACTATGTAATAGTTAAATAGTCTCATTAAATAAAAACATGAAAATGGTAAAAGATGAGTGTGTCCTGCCTCCAAATTCTAAACAATGATTGATTTGACCTTTTTTTTTTTTTTTTCTACTAACAGAACTGACTCTGAAAATTATGGGTTACAGCTGGAGCGTTAGTTTAATGCATCCTTAGTGATTTATCTATGTTTCAATATTCAAACCATATCTATTTCTAGGGGCAGTTAAATGATAGCACTTTTATTTTTTGTTCCACTCTCACCTAATTATTTTTCTGTGGTTTTTGAATTACAGTTAAGTAACGAAATATTACCTCTTCACTTTAGTTTTTTTAAAACATTAAAACATTGTTTAGTTGAATGATTTGGGCCTATGTGTGCAGTACATCAAATCAAAACTGGATACGCTTTATCTTAGTCATCTCAATAGATGGGAAATGTAGCTTGATTGATCATTTTTCAAGGGTATGATTTTCATTTTATGGTCAAGTTGCAATTAAAACTAAACAGGAAACATGATTTTATTATCAAATGAAGAAGGAAACCCCCTGCCTGATTAAACCACAACCATTTGGTTTAAAACAGGTTCTTCTTATTGTGTACAAATCATGGATAGCTCTTAAAAATCATGCTAATATGGGGGTGATACAATGCTTCTTAAAACACAGGCAACGCCTGGGGACCCTCGCTCCCTTTTTAATGATGCACTGTTCTCATTCAGCTGTCTTTCTTTTTTCAAATCTTTACATATGTGACAGCTCTCAAAAGTAGACCATAGACCATCTGGCATTTTCCGAGGTGTAACTTGTGCAAGTTCAGCTCTATTGGGAGTGCACCGCTATCTTCTGCCTGTGTTATAAAGGGACAATAGAATGTAGAACTTAGAGGTTGTTTTGAATTATTCATTTTTTGCCTGTATATTCAAGAAATTTTTACAAACTCTGCATTTTGTACTACATAATCACATGCGTTAAAGGTACAAAGAAACTTTTTGACACCTCTTTTCCACAGAAGGCTGGCATTTTGTTTGATATATGAACATTTGGCATCTGTTATATCACTCCAAACAGGATGGGTGCTGCTACAAAAGACCCCATTTTAAATTTACTCTCTATGAGCAAAAAATGTATTCTCAATATTCAGGAAAGAATGCAATACTTGTCAAAATTTCAAATACCAGGTATTAGAGCATTCAGCATCTTCAAACCTGGATAGCACTGGTCACCTGATCACCATATGTGTAGAGATTTTTTTTTTCAGCTACAGCTCACACAATGCAGCATGATTGTAATTTTAATATCCATGATGAATAGTTACAAATGTCTTAAGAAATACTGCTCTTTCTAGGTTCAAATGTTTTCAATCAGGGAGGATTAGGTCTAACAGTTTTCAGTGGGAATAATAAACATGGGAATAAATGAGCCAATAGCGTGAACTTCTTTTGATAATTAAAAAAAAAAAAAAACTAGGTGATATTGTAACTAGTAATATGTATACATGAAACCGCAGCTGCTGGCATAGCAGCAGAAAGCCACATTTTACCCCAGCATATAAACTGTTAGTGGTGGCAGATCATCTTCATTGCTGGTGTCCACACAAGTCATAGTCAATAAAATTGCTAGAGTTCTCTTGCACTTAGCTAATGTAAATGGCTAAGTACACATAAAAATCACACCAAATCCTGCTTCTTTACTCAGGGACAATTACAAGGTTCTTACTGGGTATGCAGTGACCACATGGTCACTATAGGACACACAAGCACATATACATAATGGTACAAATTTTATATATGCAATGCTGTGTATGAATATATGAACAATTTATCATTTTTAATGTTATTAAAAATACCACCAATCCTAACACTTTATATGCAATTTTGTCTTTAAATGGGAGATGAGACTTGTTTTCAATATGACTCATGATACATCTACACTATTTTTATTGCCACTTAATGTGAATTTAAGTAAAATCACTTACAGTCAAGGTAAAAAAAGAATTCCTCTCTTTTTTATCAGCCAGAGCCAAGACTTTCTCTCTGTGCAAAGTCTGGGTACACATCCCATAAATCCTGCCCAGTTGGAGACTCCTGGTATACTCTATACGGCTTTTCTTTATTCTCCTCCAAGGGCTTCTGGAAATGCCTTCTTTACCTCTTGAGTTTCTGAACTCTTTTGGCCATATATACTATTTTCTATCTTTGCTGCATCTAATGTATACATTTAGTATATTAAATTATATTTGGGAATTCTTATATGTTTTGGAACATTCAAGAATTTGCGATCCCAGTCAGGTACTGTGGCTCCCTGGATGCGAGTTCACATTCTGACACATTTTACTTTATTTTTTTAAAAAATTAACTCAATTGTAATTATTGTGTAATAAATCATCAGATGACAATGGGAACTACTACAATTCAAATTTAAAAAGACAAAGTGAAAAGTTGTTTGGAAAGGCAACTGGTTTATTGTTCCTGCAATTCATCAAGGACATTTAGACTATAATTAAACATATTTCAGAGGAGGAGACTGGTAGCTTCTTGCAAATCCATTTCTGTGCTGTCCAAGGCCATATATACTCCTGTGTCCCAAGACACCTTACAGGCAGATTTAGCCATTCATCCACATTCTCAGAGACAGACTTGTTTCTATTCTCCTTCCAGGCCTGGGCCTGAGGGCTTGGGTGTGCCTGCTCCTTAATGTGGCTGGCAGCCACCAAAGTTTGAGCATAGTTGAGGAGCATACTTCAGGGATTTTGAAGGAAGCAAACACTGGGAATCTTCATGGAAACAGTGGGGAGACTGACTTCCCAGTCTCGTCACTGTAATTGTTCCTTTTTTTAATCTCACATTTTAAAAGTTTTCTGTTTGCCCTCATCTTTAAATTCTGTGATAGTTCTAATAACTACTTCTTTTCCTAACGACCACTGAAAAGCATGTATCAAAAATATGCAAATATGGGCCGGGCATTGGTGGCACACGCCTTTAATCCCAGCACTAAGGAGGCAGAGGTAGGCGGATCTCTGTGAGTTGGAGGCCAGCCTGGTCTCTAGAGCGAGTGCCAGGCTAGGCTCCAAAGATACACAGAGAAACCCTGTCTTGAAAAACCAAAAAAAAATAAAATAAAATAAATGCAAATATGATCTTGTATTTTCTAGAAAAAATGCAATAAAAATAGATACAAAATAATAATTTTAAGGAATGTAAAGTATATTTTCACTTGAGATGTGTATGTGTATGTGTGTGTGTGTGTGTGTGTGTGCACGTGCACGCTTGCATTATATATATGGTCCTCAAAGCATAAATCAATGAAGAACAAAATCCTACTACTTTTTTCCTTTCTAGGCATAGTTTCCTATCTACTACCTGATTTCATATTCAAATGAATGACAAATTTGGCCTTACATCTTATTGTGCCTGGAAGTTACTAGTTAAATTGTCTGAGTAAAGAGTCTCCCATATGTGAATTTGAAAAGTTTAAATTGCCAGGTTTGATTATAGAGTGGTCAACTACAAGCTTTAAAATATTATTCTTCCTGGATAATCTGATAGCATTATGATATT